GAAAACAAATAAAAATGTCTAGAGGACAGTCAGCTAAATGTCTGTTAAGGTTTACCTTTGTGAAACAAAATTTGTTTAAACGTAGTATGTTATATGTCTGTACACAGCAGTTCCGAGGGGGGTGCCCGGCTACGGTGTCGAGTCAGCTCACTACGTTTTAAAGTATACCGTTATAATTCATCGTACCTTTATCTAGTAATCATAGTTCATACTTAGTTTCGAAAAAGTGTTTTGCAAGCTAAGTACCGGTTACGTGCTACTACTAAAGCGAGTGTGCTACTTACTTTTGTGCGACAAAACAGTAAAAATATATTTTTTAACTTAAAAAAATGGCACTTGGGGTTTTGCGGCCGCCGAACCCAACCCAGCAATAAAAAAGCGGCCGACCGCCGACCGAAACCGGCGGCAGTTATGTCAACTTTTGACAATGTTTCGGAAGAGGTCCCCTCAATTTAATTATACCAATCGAAAGCTTACTAAAATGTCTAAAAATTCGTTTCTATGAAAAAAGTTGGCACCGGGGGTCTTGCGGCCACCAGAAGCCGCCGAACCCAGGCACAAAAATATAAGCAGCCGGCCGTCTACCGACCGCCGAAGAAGCGCTTATATAATGTTAACTAATCATATAATTTGTTTTAAAATAATTTTATATTACATTTTATGAAAAAAATATATAAATCAATTTTTACTTATTTTTTTAAAAGTTAATTTTAAAAAACATTGCATTACATTTATGCATAATCAAAACATTTGTATAAAATAAAAGTGTATTTAATATATATTTGTATAAACAGATTCGATTTAAATATTAATATTTCATTGACACTAAAATTAAATAAATATACATTAATCTCTAGTGTTATAAAATCCTAGCCCCCCTAGAATGGCATCAAGTAATTCCTCGTTATATATTATATTAATAACGTCCCTTTTTCTGGCGGCGAATCGGTCGCGCCGAAATCTCCGGGTTCGGACACCGCGACCAAAACCGGTTTTAGGTGGCAACTGGTATGTTTGATAACAATAACAATAATAACAATAATAGAGCATTATCGTATGTTGAAAGGCACTGGGCGTGACAACAGTAACCGGCGCAGCAGGTTCCCCGTGTCGTGGAAAAAACCATGATAAATAGTATATAAAATATCTATTTAAAGCAGCTAAGCTACTTTGGAGTATCTAAAAAAAAAAATAACAGGCACCTAACTGGTGGCGTCGCGTCAGTTCAATGACGTATAATTTATAAATTTAAAGTCGTCTCAATTTAGCTGTTTTATTTTTCCCACTACTATAGATTAAATATATGCTATTGTAGTAAGCAGAGCTCACTACATAAAATTGAGGACCAAGAGAATATATATAAACCACGTTTTAACTTAAAAGACTTTAAAGCTGTAATTTATAATAAACACACAAGAACAATTATATATATATAATTATAACTTTTACTGACACACTATTACTGTCTATGATCTGGCATAAGTAACTGGCCTAATTGTGGTTAATTAAAAAACAGTTTATATAGTAATATATAAATTAGTGAATGACGTTAAACTTAGAGAACTAGGAAGGCCTAATAATATTATCGTGGATGCGCGTGAAAAAGAGGTTAAGTCAACATTTTGTGCAAAATGAGTTATATGCACCGACAAATTCACAAAAAAAACTATCATTTGTGTTTTACAGTTTAAGTCTAAGTGTAATATTCAATGAATAATAAAGAAGTGTTTGATGAGATGTCACTATTTTTCTGATCTTAGTGTATTTTGTAATAAGTCGACTTAAATATTTTTGAATTTACAATTTAATAGTGTTCTAATTTTAATTTATACAGGAAAGTATAAAACAAGTTATTTTATTATCTTATTAAAAAAATATTTATCTTATCCTAATACCTGATCTTACATATTCTTCTAAACTTTATTTTCCATTTCCTGAAAAGTTCATAGTGGTTGACTTAACCCCTTTTTCACGCGCACCTACGATGACATATTCTTCTAAACCTTACTTTCCATTTCCTGAAAAGTTCATAGATGTTGACTTAACCCCTTTTTCACGCGCACCCGCGAATTTTAATAATAATTACAAGGGGTAACTAGACGTGACCTAGTTTACAATAAGAAATACTGTGTAATAACAATTTAAAAATTTAAGGCCTATGGGCTATGATGTCATTTAGCCAATCATGACATCCTGCAAAACAACCTAACTATAATATATAAAATAATATAATATAAACTAATATATAATATAATCCATTAACATAAATTAACAATAACCCTGAATTATGAGCTCATTACATAATTACATTGTGTTATTGAATTAATTTTATAATCATACTAGACCCGATATTCTATCATCCCTTTGAAATAGTCCATGGTGGTTTTAAAAAACACATTTTGCGTAGCTAACTTATAGGCCAGTAAATACAAATTTAAGCAAAAATAAAAAAAATCCCAAAGAATTATTTTTTTGTAAGTGTACTATGTAGTAGACTACAGCAGTAGGAAAATAAATTAAGCATCACGATTTCATAATATTTATTTAATATTTAGCTGTAGAATAATAATTTCCAGCAATTTGTACACATGCCCTACAGGATACAGCCTACATCATTTTAATGTAGCATAAGAAAAATCATATCCATTCGTTGCAGCTGTAGTGTACGCGTCTGTGAAGGACCGTACAGTACACTAAACGACTAACGGTATCGGCAGGACTAGGAGTCGTTGTTAAATAATTAAACACTTTTTAAACTTAGTTAATATTAGTATAATAATAAAAAGTATTATTGGTTAAACTGGATATTTAGCATAATAAATATTTTAAACAGTTTGTAGTTAATATAATTTACCCGAGTACTTGTTGCAGTCGCACTACTCTACTAAATATTAGCTTTATAATAAAGAACACCCAAATTGAAGGGCGACAATGCAAAACGTGCTACTGCCATTTTTCGCTTTTTCCAGTGACATCGATTTTCTGTTGTAGCATATAAGAAAGTCATAGACAAAAACTGTAATATTCTAAAAATGCATAAAAGAAATCTGAACTTATTTATGATAATTGTTAATATGTAAATTTAAATTTCGATACATTAAAACATAATTTTGTGAAACGAATCGCGCCAAAACGTACCATATCCACCACTTAGTTTGTTTTGGCAAAATTCAGTGGAAATAGTATATTTTTAACATAATATATTTATATAGGTAGTCAATAATATTATTTATTATAAATAACAAACTATAATTTTTTTTTTTCATAATTAACTATTTCCTGAAAAATTAAATATTCCATACATAGTTTTTTTCGTGACTGTAAATTTGTTACAATATGATTTGTATTATCTTGAAAAATTATAAAACCTTATTTAACAGTCATATAAAAAAATTTATAATACTACAAATATAAAATAAAATAAAAACAAGACACTAATTAACCTTGGTTTATTTACCATCAATTTAAAAAAACTAGTAGACAACTGCCGCCGGTTTCGGTCGGCGGTCGGCCGCTTTTTTATTGCTGGGTTGGGTTCGACAGCTTCTGGTGGCCGCAAGACCCCCGGTGCCAACTTTTTTCATAGAGACGAATTTTTAGACATTTTAGTAAGCTTTCGATTGGTATAATCAAATTGAGGGGACCTCTTCCGGAACATTGTCAAAAATTGACATAACTGCCGCCGGTTTCGGTCGGCGGTCGGCCGCTTTTTTATTGCTGGGTTGGGTTCGGCGGCCGCAAAACCCCAAGTGCCATTTTTTTAAGTTAAATAATATACTCTTACTGTTTTGTCGATAATTATAATATATTTTAATTAATTAAGTCGATATCGTATAATAATAATTGTCGGTGTATGGGGATATATGGACTGCCCCTTAGAATAATAAGTGTATTGGCAACACAACATACACCAACGCCATGACACTTTCTGTTATCAAATATTGCTGGCTCGTTTATGGCTAACTTCACACACGTAAAAAAAATTCTCCGTTTGCTTCGCAATGAATAAAACAAACGATACGTGATTTTGTTGATTTATATTAAATTTTCCTGTTTGTTTTTTACTACAGTGTATACTTTTAATATACTTGTTAGTTGGAATTTTTTTTTTTTAATTCAATATAAAAGTGACAACCACAGAGAGAATAAATTACTTTGACGTTTTGTTGTCGAGTTGGAATATAAACTTAAGTAGATATAAAAGCGACTTAAAGGTTAATATGGACTTAAAAACGTTCACTATTTTATTAATATATATGTTTTTAATTGCTAACCCTGCACTGAGTGGTCCTACCGAGGACGAGGTAACCTTTTTATATTTTTTTTAGACAATTGTCATTAATACTTGATTGTGTAATTATTATGATTTATTGGTCAAGCTTTACTTTGGTAATGACTGTTAAATGTATGTATGGTGTACCGGTAGTGCACCTATTTAGGTCCTCAAGTACAAAAAATGTATCCCATTAAAAAGTAATTTGTAAATCAAATTAAAATTTGTATTTGTAATTGATAAATTACGAAAGAATTCTTTTTTTGTCAGTTAATTAGACTATAATTTTTAACTTGATACTTAAAAAACAAATGATATCAAATATTATAATTTAATATGTAAATCAAATTTGTTTATCATTCATATTGATATTAAACATTTTAAAATGTTGAAAACATTTATTTATTTATGTGATATCAATACCCAATAAGGATAATGAATATTTAAGTGAGTACTTGAGTAAAGTTACTTGCTTGTTATGGTGAATAATTGCACACAATATTGACTGTTAGTTTTGGGGGTGCGAGGAAACTTTCAAAACGGTGTAGTATCTAAAACTATAGAAAGACGTGTGAAATGATAACAAGGGTAGGAGTTCAGGAATGGCAGTTTCATTGAAATGTGTCCTTAACTCCACTTTGACGTCCCAGACAGATATAGATGGTTGGATTGCGGATAAAACGTACAAGGAATAAAATATAATGACGAAGAACACATAAGCAACGAATGTGATAATAATCTCGAGTAAAGCTGTTTATTATGAAATATATTAAATTAACTGACAGCTATTAGTGCAATATGAATTAGGATATGATTGCAATAAGATAACACTATTACAATGAAATAACACTAGTATTATATTGTAAATTTAGAAGAGGTATTCCATTGGTTCATGGTCTAAATTATTATAAATGCTGGTCAAGTAGTTGTTGTGTACGTTCATCGGTGCTCATTTGCCACCATACGCCATTAATTTGTTTGAATTTTTTTTGTGTAGTTCCGTTATCCAGAATACAAGTATTATTATCGGGGTCAATCACAAGGTTTTTTATGTATGATTTTGGAAATCGTGTACTCAAGTATATTCCCATGAAACGACACATCCCCAATAAAGGGACAGCACGAACAGATTCGTCTAAAAAATTAAAATTTTTTTTTATTAAAATACGCTTAAATTAATATAAATAAAGTTAAATGAATTTCAACTCTAAAACAAGCTGTAAAGGCTATTTACGACTATCGAAAAATTCGATATTTACATTGCTTTTTATCAACTCCTGCAACAAATACATTAAATCATTAGGCGATACTTATAAAACCCGGTGTATATATTTTAAATATATATATAATAAAACAGTCACTATTAAACCCATACAACTCCATATTAATATTTACCTAATACACGTCTGATTACATTTTCTAAAGACGTTCCACTAAGTCTTCTCTCTTCTAAAATTGTCATCAAATTTGAGCCTCCGAAATCTACGAAAATAATTATTAAATCACTGCGCTGAGAAGAAATAATAACAAATAAAACATATTGACATAGATATGTGTATTAGATTTGCTGATGACATTGCTATGGTAACAGAGACAGCGAAAGACATGCAGCAATCACTGGCTACATTTAATGAAATATTAAAACGATACCTTATAAAGATCAATATAAAGAAAACAAAAGTCATGGTAGTAAGTTAAGAGCGCAGAGTCCCCTTCGTTAACATACAATCAGATAACAAAATAATTGATCAGGTACTGGTATAAATATTAAGGAAGTACACCAACCAGTGACAGTAGATGTTCGGTAGAAATAAGACACCGAATAGCCATGGCAAAGAGAGCCTTTGTACAAAAAAGACAACTACTCGCGAACAAAAATCTTAGTCTTAAGACTAAAAAAGACTTTGCCAAAAGATACGTATGGAGTATTTTGTTGTATGGTTGTGAAACCTGGACCTTAACAATGCAGGATACAAAAATAATAGAAGCAATTGAAATGTGGACGTGGAGAAAATTATTTCGTGTTAGTTGGACTGAAATGAAGAGCAATGCAGGAATTCTCCAAATAGTAGAGGGGAAAAGAGTACTGCTATCCATCATTAGATCAAGAAGCGGAAAACTTATGGGACATTTAATAAGACATAATCCCTTCATAACCAACATAAAGGAAGGAAGATTCAATGGACGCAAAGGAAGAGGAAGACATTCACAGGAGAGATGATTCAAATGGCTGGATGCAACGGGTATTCAGATATCTGGCATTATATAAGACATATCCACATTCCTGTGTACTTCCTATGTACCTACTCAGTATAATCAGGCAACGTTACAGTATCGTCTTACATAATCTAACCTATCCGACTTCCTTCGTAAAGATAAGAGTGAGCACAACGTCATCCGAGTATGATCGGTAGTACGATGAAATGCAATTAAAATTCAATATTGTTCTAGGAAAAATGTAAGCAACACTTGTGGTTATATGTTATAAAATATTTAAAAAAACCACAAAATAATACTCTATAGGTGTACGTATTTCGGATGTTACCGTCTTCAACACATACCTACACTCTTTTCTCTTATAGGTTAGATTAAGTTAGTTTAGGTTCAGTGATACCTGTCACCTTGTAATTCCTGTCAATTAGAGCCAAAATTAGTTAAATTTTCTGCTACTAGGAGGCGCTGCTGAGAGGCAGGGTGCCCCACTCTCATATTATATAGCTTATAGCTCATATATGGCTTTATGATTTTAAGCATTAAGTCGATATTTTTTAGTTTTTCTTAAGAACTACAAATATGTATGATTATCGATATTTAAAAATATTTATTTACTTAATGTGCCTCTTATTTCTAGTTCTAGTTGCATCATAAACTGGTCATACATGGGTCCTAAAATTAAAAACAAAATATATATTTAATGTACCTACATATTTTTTAAGATTGAGACCAATATGTCATATTGGTATTTGTCAATAGGAGCTTACTAGTTACTAATTATTTTTTTGTGGTGCAGGAAATACACAGCTATCTTATTTGTGAAAATTAAGTCATAAAAAAATAATAGAATATGTATGGTGTCCGTATTATACAGCTATGCAATTTATATGTGTTACAAGAAAGTATGTGTTAGTACTTAGTAGTCATCACTTCTTTGGATATTTGTTAAAAATAAAAATAATTTGTTTCCTAATTATTTTGTAGTGAATAATTTCTATTAAATATTAACTATTTCTATTAATCTTATAAATATATTAATGGTTCAAACCCCATACAACCCCATATTAATATTTACCTAATATACGTTTGAATATATTTTTTATAGTCGGTTCAACAAAACGTCTTCTGTGTTCTGCAAGGGTTGTCAAATCTAAGGCTCCATAGTCTGTAAAAATTATTAAATCAACGTGTTGCGAGGAAATAACAAAAATAAAAAATGTTTTAAATACTCGAGATACATAATAATTATTGCATTACATTTCAAAGAACAATGGTATAACTAATCTTTTGTACAACACTCGGTGTTGTATAATGCAACGAATGCATTGTTTCTATACTTGAAATCCCATAGAACTTAAACTAACATACACATTATTGTACGACATAAACATTCAATAAATAAAATTAAGCAATTTTAAAATCTAAAACAACCTTTAACGGCTATTTATGGCTGTCGAAAAATTCGTAATTACCTATGCTTTCATCAGGAATAGGAATAACAACGACTGTAACATATAAATCAAAACATTATGCACTTAATAAAACCCGATTTAAACATTTTATATTTTATGTACAACAGTCACTCTAGAACTGAAATAAGTCAGACTAATTAATGAATGTAAAATATTATTGTATAAATGTTAAATTATTTCTAATAGCAACATTTTAATGAAAAAAGCTAAGGTTAAAATTTGATTTCAAATGATCATCGAAAAACTTAAATATAAAACATACATAGCTTTCTCTGCATTTAAGCTTTCAATTGATTTTTTTATACTTTTCCTTTTAAACTACAAATATGTACAATTATTAAATTTTTTAATTTTATATTTACGTAATTCATTTCTTATCTCTTGTTGCATAACATATTGTAAATGACCAGCTTCTAAAATGTAAAACAAAATACATTTTAATCTACCCACATATTTGTATATGATCGAAACCAATTATGTCCTATTTGTATATTTTGTTAATAGGTACACATGATTATTGCCATAGTATTTATAAATAACGAATATGCGTCGAAAATGTCAAATATGAATTATACAAATGTGGTTACTATGCATTGGCTCAAGGTGTTCGTATCCTGAAATTAAAACAAAAATTGTGTGTGCATAAAGAACATCAAACGACTGAGCACAAACACTTCCATAATGTGCAATGAAAATCCTTACCCGGTATATTGACGATAATATCCGTTTGTTCTGAAATTAACAACACATAAATTGCTTAAATTAAATACATATTCATCGCATTGTTTATACAGGGTGATCGTTTAATCGCAAACCCACATTATCTGATTGGATTTAGTTAAAAATGTACCTTTTCTCTTGCCCTAAACTTGAAACGTCGATAAAGATCACAAATAGATACTTACCCAAAACTTGTTATCGACCAGACCAAAAATGTAATTACTAAATAAATCCAATGAGATATTGAGTGGTTCACGATAAAAATGATCACTCTGTATATAGAAATACGATGGAAATCTCTTTGGAAAATATTAATAAAATATTTTCATAACAATGTTAACGAAAACTATTACCCGGTACAGCGACCAGAAAATTAAGTTTGTCTGAAATTTACATTAATAAATTAATGATATTGGTTTTTATTTGCTATTATAAATTATTGCATTATAAAATATAAAAGTACAAAGGTCAAAGTAGAAAAAAAACTATATTAAATAGACTAGGATCTATTGGAAATCTTTGTGAAAATACAATGACTGAATTGAAGCAAATTAGTTGACAGTGCTATCATCAGTATTTTTTGTTTTTTTTTAGATTCCATTCTACTTTTATCTTTATTTTTTTCTATTATTATTATAATTATGACTACCAAAACTCTCGTATGAATGATATTCATGGTCATCAATATCATCATTAACCATTTTTTCAATTATATACTCCAATCCACCTAGAAATAAATAGACAAATATATGAGCTATACCACAAAATTAAAATAGAATCAAATTAGGTATCATATATTCTCCAGAGTAGTATGAAACCATTGCTTAGCAGAAGCAATTTAACATAACGGTACTCTTTCGATAAGATTACTAAAAAAGGCTACCAGCACACTTTTCTTAACTATTTATAGAAGCTTTACATTTTAATTCACAACAAAGAACTTGACAATTAGGTGCACATATAATAAAACTCTTATATGTTGGCATATTAATTGTAAATATATCTTACTTGCTACAGAATTATCTTCTACAATTATAACATTCTTCTTACACGCTTTCTCGATGGTTAGGTCTGTAATGCATAATTTAAATAATAAAAAATATTTATAAAACTAAAAAAAAATATTACTGACTTGTACGGAAAAATTCCTTCCTAAATTCCGCTGTAAAAAAAAGTGAAATAATGAATTTGTTTTCAAATTTATAACTACCATAAGATGGTTGTAGTAAAAATAAAGTGATTACCTTCATAATCTTCTGAGCTTACAAGGACAAAATAATATGTTATTAACAAACAGCAAAGTTTCATTTTTATCTGCAAATAAAATAATAAATATAATTGTTTTTTCAAATTTGATTTTGATGTCAAATAAACTAGTCTAAAGCGAAGAAAAAGTTATCTTTCAATAACAACTTTACTATTCACTTTAAAAATTAATTCAAAGCCATAATACACTTATTTTAGCATGTTTTTTTTATTTTTGGCAATTATAAAAAAATGTTAAAAATAAAATTGTACAAGTATATATGCAGAATTAAGTTTCCTTCAAATGTATATTTCTTTAATTTTTTGAGTTATGATGGATAAAATCTATATAATTTTGCTAAATATTACTTTTTTGAGGAGATATTTTTTTAAAATTTTTTTTTTTTACTTTAGGTTTGTTTCGCAACACCCTAATCCCTATAGTATAAAACGAGCCAAATAATGAATAAATGGAATATTTATTTTATAAAATGCTCTCCAATGATGTGGATTGTGTGAAACGCAATATTTGTATCTGTTTTGATAAACAAATGTTTGTAAAAAACTGTTCGCTCAAAAACGTTGCCAATAAAAAATACTTATTACTGTTTTTTTTTACACTATAACTTTTGGTTCATTAAGTTTATGACATTGTAGTTTTAGCGTGATTACAATTTTTAGAGTTTTGATAAAAATACTTACTAGAATTGTCGAGCTGATAGCTGATATTTTCTTAGATAATAATCGACTTGATCGGCTTCTGAAAGAAAATGTTCTTCTGGTTACTTATGGATGCACTTATATTTCCACCTAAAAGACAGAAACTGAAAGAAGTAACCCATTTACATGTTCACCCATTTACACAGTTGGCTCATTTTTTTTTTTTTTTAATTTATGGTGTACACACATTTTTTTGACTTAGACTTCTTAGTCTTAGGTTTCACAATCACCCGTGTAACCATTAAATGTTTACATTAAAAAATTGCAATTGAAATTAATTTAAAATTTCGGCCTAACTATATGAACTATGGCAAAATTTCGAAACGAAGAACACCTAAATAAATAAAATATATTATTGGACGGAAAAGTGTTTTTATTTTTGATAATTTCATCATGGTCTTACAAAAAATGTTTCAAATATTAAAACGTGAAAATTGACATATTTTTCAACTTATAATATTTTGGCGCTCTGTGTAACTTTTTAGAAAATAATCGAATTAGTTCCAAATTGGTATGGCATAGTCTTTAGACGGATAGCACTACAGGTAAACTTTAGCAAACCAAAAACATATCTTATGTAAACCCTTTCCTGGGGAATGGGTGGAACTTTTTTCTTGAATTGACAAAGTCTTTAGGAACAAAGTTTTAGGGCTTGAGGTCTCTGATAATTAAACCGAAAATCTTTTTTTGGTAGTTAATTTATTTCCTGGACTTTAACGCTAGAAAATCGGATATATAACACCCTTTTTAAATGTATAATATATTCTATAATACAACTTTTAGTTTCATCCGATCTAAACCAAATAAATAAAAATTAATACATTTTAAAAAATATTAAAAAAGTGCACTAAAAAGTAAAAAATAATTATATTACAAGAACAATTTACCAATTGTAGCATATTTTTTTTAAAATGTCAATTACTTTGAAAACAATTGAAAATTAACTATAATATATGTTAAATATCTTTAATTTTTTAATAAAAAGAAAAGCGTGTCCACACCTAAGGTTTAATACCTTTTACCGGGCATACCTCTCATTTTATAGACTCATTGGAAATTCCTTTTATTTTTTTCCATTATTTATCTAGACCCAGCACAACAATTTTTAGTTACTCAGTGCAGTTTACTCAGTTTTTTATTATTATTATTATTTTGGTGTCTATTTTTTGCGATGGCCAATAAGTGGAAACAGTTGGAGTAATTACCAAGCAACCTATCTTTTGAATAATTGTAATACCCCATAAATAGGTGTTTGGCGTTATGAACAAAAAACATATTATTTCAAAATACAATTTTTGTTAGTAATGTAAGCGAACAATATTTCAAAAACATCTAATGTTTGTTTTCTTGAAAAATCAAGGAATTCAATACATTTGTGTACACACTAGCGTCTCCTCATAATCTATGACCGATTTTGAGTATAACAACTTAAATTAAAATTATTAAAAGAAAATACGGTCGTACCAGTTACTTGCAAATAATAAAAAAAAAAATCGCTAGACTTCTAAACGGTATTTATTAAAAACCGAATATCTTACAAAACCGTTTAATATTACTAAAAGATATATATTTGTGCTATGGTTTTTTTTTTACCAATTATAAACCATGCATGTCTAGTTTTGTTATTGAATTAAAAGGAATTTGTTAAAAAAAACCCACTAATCATTTGCTGAACAAAAGTTATAGTATTAAAAAAATCCACTTGTTTTATGTTGTCCTAACACGGCTTAAATGGAAAGTGACAACGTATGACTTTCATGAACTTTTTTTTATTGAGATATTGAGAATAATTTACTGATAACAATTTAAACTATGATTTTAAAATACAAATTTGAGTACATAAAGTACTGGTTAAAACTATAGGAGGGCTAAATGCAGGACATTTAGCTATATTTATTTATTAGGGAGAAACTACATTTAAAATATGCAAACTCTTTTACAGATATACTTGCAAACGGTTTTAAATAGGGACTTTAGGGCAATTTGGGTGTGATTATTTTGCAACTGCAAAAAGCTCTGACGGCATGTGGGTCAGGTTCAAATTCTTGTAAATTTTAACGTTTAATCTGACACTAATTTAAGAACAGTAATTTTATGTAGCACAAATAAAAACGTTTTTTTAGTAGAGGCCACCAAATATTATGTATCAGATTAAAGGCGTATGCTTAGCTATGCATCAAACCCTGGCGTTATTTAAGCACATTTTTATCTCAATTCCAAAAATTATTAAAATAAAAATCAATTTGAATACAATATATTTTCTTTTTTTGCGGGTGGTTACTCCAAATATTTGTTATAATATGTCTATTTAAGATTTCTCAATTAGAATTGATCCACTACAATTTGATTACAAAGTATTCTCATAATAATCAGTACAAACATCAATAAAATTTTAATTTTCAATAAAGGTGAAAATATCTTCTTCCCGCCTGCTTAGCCGATAATTATTTCACATTTGAAAAAATATGTTAACAACAATTTTTGTTTACATATTTTTATAACGAATCTAACCTAACTGAAAATATAGATAAGTTTATAGCAAATATTATTTCCAACAGTAATATACCTACAAAAAACGCAATCATGTAGTTATTTTTTTGTCTACGTTTATTCAGGTGTTTTTAATTTAAATAAAAAACTACCGACACGTGAGAGCGATTAAGATAACCATAAATAATTTAAAATGTACAAAAAATTGGATTTAAGATAATTTTTTTAGTTTAAAATAAAATGCAAAGAAAATTAAGGAACTTTTTGGTGAAATCAGAAAAGTATTTATTTTTAATTTAGAGTGAAAACAATAATTAAAATTGTAAAAAACGATTATATAGTCAGGGCTAGTAAAAATACTAAATTAGTTGTCTCAAGGTGTAAGAACGTATATTAACATTATTATTTACCAATAAAGGAGCATTCAAGGTCTTATATTGTACCGATTGACGCCAGTTTGAGAGATATTTGCATGATATAACTATTTAGTAAATTATTTTGTTAATATTTGTAGCAACTTTAATAATGACCTTCCTAATAATACTTAAAAAGAAAACTTAATTATAATTTTCTCACAACATGTAAACGCCTATTGAGTAGTTAATCATATATTTTACTTTAAAATAAGATAAAGTATTACATTATATTGGTTTTAATAGCATTTTCGCGTTAATATATTACCAACATATACCAAAAATAGTAATTTATTTAGAAATTCTTAATTTTGATAGATGATCTTAACGATGGAACTGTAACTCCAAAACTAAATTGTGAAGCCACTGATAGTGTGACCAAAAACAAAGATTAGCGTGATGTTAAAATATAAGATATCTTCTTAACATTTAAAAATGCTATTTAGTGTATTCCTACCGAATTACTTTATTTTTTATTTTTGTGTATTATAAGAATTTAAGCTTGAAGGAGGCAGTTTGAAGATAATTCAAGTAATGGCTCACCAACTGCGATGCAGAAAGCAAGAGGAAACTACTGCATTAACTTTCCAGAGGATAATATTGAAATGATGATGATTGTAGAGGTAAAGAGTCCCCCATTCGGATCTCCGGGTGGGGACTGCCAATACAAGGTCGTCAAAAGAGAGGACGAAGAGGAGAATTTCATCATTCAACCAATCTACGGATTGAAAAAAAAAAATAAGAATTTAACTATTTGTCAGATTTTTTAAAAAAATAACTAAAACCTAGATTTAGTGTTAAATTATCTTATCTCGCTTTTGTTTTAAAGCTGGTTAATGCATTTTGTTTTAATAAAATAATTATTATGTGTAATCACATATTTATTTTATTTGAAATTAAACAAATTAAAAAAAAACGTGTACAAATCACATACAATGTCATAACGTCTGTAATATAATGTAATGTTGTTTTATGACATATATGTATATATATATTGAAACATCTGTGTAACAAATCCTAATAAAGTAAGTCTGATTCGAGAATAATGTCAATTTATGATTTATTATATCCTTCGACTTTTGAACACTTCAACAAAATACTATACTAACTATATTATTAGGTTGTTTTTAGCAATCATATTTGTAAACCATCATATTTATTATTTACATTTGTCTGATTAACTTACTATAAAACTGGAAAATATGGAGAGAATGAAATATAATTAATTTTATGCACGAGCTAAACTAATAAAATATGTACAAGTTCGCTATAATATTTTTCCTACCGTGTTTCTCAATGGCTAACCCTTTGCTAATGTTGTTTATCCCAGTTATTCATTTTTTTAATTAAAAAAATATATATTTTGTTTTAGACGCTATAACTATGGACATGTTTAAAGAACTTGTTAAGGCAGTTTGTGCAGCAACTCAGAGTAATGTTGTTGACTTTATTAGCAAGAGAAAAAATCTAGTCGATAACAATAGAAAATGTTGACGACTGACATGTAATCAAACTTAATTTGATACAAGTTTATACAACATGAATGAATTAAAGTTGAGAAGTTTATAAAACGTCAACTTTACCTAATTATTGGTTAACGACAATGTTTTTTTTTAATAGTTATGCAAAGATAATCAATTATGTTAACAATCATAGATAGATCAATTATTATATTGGTTAAATTAAATATTAACAAAATATTTTGTAACGATAGCACAATATGTTATAAATCTATAGTCAACAATATTAAATAATAATGAAGCGAATTAATTTTGTATTTAATTAATGTAACTTGAAGTTGGTTCCCCATTATTAAACATAAAAAAAATGATTGAACGCAACAATAAAAAAAAATGTATACAAGTGTCTAAATAAAACATTATACTTTAGTAATAATCTTCATCTGGAAGTTATGCAACAAGCTTCTTAGCCAATTCTTGAAGTATGGAAAATTCATCTTTACTAAGATTACCAGTATTTTTTAAAAACTCAGAAAATTCAATCACTTTGTTGCCTAGAAAACATTGAGGTATTTATCAATAAAAATATTCACTATAAATTTGTTGTTTCTTTTATTAAGTTTTTACCGTTTTCATCAAAGTTATTTATCGCTTTTGTGGTTTCCTGGGAATTGACCTGTATTGAGTAAACTAATTCTATAAAGTCGGCAATCACATCAGCGGTAATAACGCCATTATTGTTTATGTCCAATACAGTAAAGATCTCACATAAACTGACCAACTAAAAAATAAAAATAAAATATTAAAGATTTTGAAAACATTATAACACAAATGTTTTTACTTTTATAATAACGATCTCGATGAGCAATTAAAAACAGAAGTATATCATTTGTGACATGTGTATAAAATGTTTTAAACAAATTATTATTCGTATGTTCGTTTTTTTAACACTTAAATTTAGTGTTCAGTATATTATTTTTGTAACCTACTTACTCTCTGAAGTAAATATATTGTTTGGAAATTATAAATAAATTTCTGAATGTCTTAAGTTTATTATTCCCATAATGTTTTTCTTTTTTCATTTTTATATATATATAAATAGAGGGTGATCATTTTACCGTGAACCACTCAATATCTCATAGGGTTTAATTTTGTTTTTTTTCATAGTATTTTTATATAATGTGATCTTAATTTCCCAGACATTTTTATATTTTTATCTCCCTCCCAAATTACTTTTTTTTAAAGCAACATTTGAAACTTAAATGGTAACCTTTATACTTTATTAACTTTTTAAATTAAGAATATTTTACTAAAAATGTTGACTGGTTGATAACCAAGTTTTAAACCATTTTTTATAAAGTAATAAGAGATTACAATTTAGGACAAGAGGAGAAGTGAGCGCAGATAAAAATAATACTACACTCCAACGTTCCTTCTGCCCTAAACTTGAGACTTCAAGAAACATAAAAAATAGTTAAATCCAAAACTGGTTATCAACCGGTCAACATTTTTAGTACATTTATCTCAACTAAAAAAGTTTCAAATGCTGGTATAAGAATTAGGATTGGGAGGAACATAAAAATTTATGGAAAATACATGAATTATTAACCTTTAACGAAGCTTCCAACATTAATTCTATTTCCTCGTATTCGTTATATTCAATTTGTCCATTCGCTAAGAACAGTATTAAATACATTTTTTTTTTAAACGAATTTTAACATATAAGTTTTCTACTACCGTCTCGATCGATAAGGTCGGTTATTTCTTTAGCTTCGTTTGGCGAGTCAAAATAGATCAGTTCAAATTCTTTATACAGTAATTCCAGAAAATCTATTGCCGGAATAGTTTTTTTGCCGTCGAATGAATAGTCATTATCCTCTACATTCAATGGTTTTCTCTAAAATATTATAAAAAATGCATGACATGTAAACTTTATAACGACTTATTTGGAAAGGTTAAGTTTAAAAAAAAAATAGTTTTTGTGTGTATTTGAATAACTTTTACAAACAATACATATATTTAATAATATTGTTTTTATGAATTAACGTGAAACAGTATCAGGGTAAAATCTCTTTTAAACTTTCTTTTATTCTTCCTATTCCTTTCTTATTATCAGTTGCTACAAAACTGAAAACGCTACAACTTCAGACTTGTATAAGTTCTTAAAATTATTTTTTTATTCATATTCGATCCAAAGTATGCGGTCAAAAAATCTTTAAAAAAATGTACTTAGTTTCAACTTAAAATAATGGCGATCTAAATTTTTTTTTAAATGGTGGGATTATTTTTTAATTTGCATGTAATGTATTTTAGACTGCCGATAAAAATTGAAGGGCTGGAAACTTTTTGTTTATTTCACTTGTTTAGATGAAACTTTAAGCCTTAAATTCTAGGTTGCTCTATGTGTGAGTGATTCAACAGTCAACGATTACAATAATCTAACAGGGTTATTTGTTTATCACGGACCACTCAATACCTCACTGGTTTTAACTAATAATACAATTTTTTTTTCAAATAATGTGATCTCAATTTTCCACAAATTTGTATTTTCCTACCCTCCCCCCAACCTAATTATTTAGATATCAACTTTTGAAACTTAAACGGTAACGCATACATTTCATTAACTTTTTAAGTAGAGAATAACGTACTAAAAATGTTGACTGTTCGATAACCAGTTTTGGATAACTATTTTTGATGTTATAAGTTTAAAAATAATTGTTCAAAACTGGTAATCAACCAGCCAACATTATTGGTACATTATTCTCCATTTAAAAAGTTAATAAAGTATAATTTCCATTGAAGTTTCAAAAGTTGCTATCAAACAAACTAATTTGGGAGGAAAGTTAAAATATGAAAATTTGTAGGATATTGATATCACATAATATAAAAACACTATGGAAAAAAAATGTAATTATTAACTCAACCCAGTAAGATATTTAGTAGCCCACGATGAAAAAATATACTCTGTAAATGTGACCCTTGACGGTTTCCGCCCCAATATGCCCCGTTCTCACTATGCGTTGACCCCATTGTACTTGTTTGTTTTTTATTGTCAAATAAAATAAACAAACTTAAAAAAAAGCCTTTAAAATTGCAATTATATCAAGACATTTTGTCTTACGTTGTATGGATAGAAAATATGATACGAGCATGATATTTTTTTAATTAGTGACCACTGTGTAGAAAGCTTTTAATCCAATCTATAGATACAGCCTAATGTTTTCTACGGAGTCCACTGTGTTGACGTATGAACTGTTAAATTAAAGGACTCATCCAGAGCCTGTAATGTCTATCACGTCCAAAGTTTCTCACAGGTACAGGTACATAGACCACAATGTAGAAATCAGAAACACAAAAAAAATGCAAATACTATATACAAATAATACAACGGAATTAACCTCTGACAAGATATCCACTATCGGTTCGATTTTTTCGAGCTTGCCGAATTCAATTTCAAAGTTACCTGAAAATATTTATGGAAATTGTAGAGTAAATTTTGTAATACAAAATATGTATGTTTATGTATATTTGTTTTAAATATTATTACCGTCTCTATCTAACAAAGATATATATCTGCTTGCTTGGCTAATGGTGACGAGTCCGATTGACTCGTTAAATAACAATATCTGTAGTTCCGTTGCGCAGATCGAACCATTCTTGTCTTGGTCGTACTTGTAAAATTTCTCATGCCATCCATTGTTAACATCCTCGCTCGTAATTACAGCCTAAGTGTATTGCATGAGAATACATTTTGTAGTAAACATAACGACCAATATGTGTAGAACGAGACTATCAGTTTGTTTAAATATTATATAATTAGTAAACAACTCTTAAAAAAAAACCATTTCCACGAAGGTTTATTTTTGTGCTGCTAACTGTTTGTTATTATTACTAAAAATAAAATTACATTGTACCCGTATACCTTATATTATTTCCTTCTACGGTTTATTGTTAGAAATGAAAATGTTTTAGCCACGTATGCTACATGTTTTTTAATATTCAAGAGCTTTAGATAATATAATATATAAATACCGCCGTTGAATTGGTCTCGATTGAAATTGACGCATCATTTTTCCCAATAAAACATACGACACACAAAAGTACTGTAATACTACTTAAAAACATATTGTAATATTAGAAATATGTACGTGGTCCGCTTTGAAATTAAACTATTTCTTACAATTTTGTGTTATGTTTTTTCACACCGAGTATTATATTTCTAACATGTTTTTTAGTAAAAACAACAACCAAAAAAACAAACATAAACTATATTTCAATACGTACTATAGTTTTTAGATGTTAACGGTGTACAAATATACATCAACACAGTGGCGGCTCGTGCGTAGGTGCGCAGGTGCAAGCGCACCACATGCAATTTTATTAAAATAATATTTTTTATTTTTTTTAAACTTAACCGTTGTAAACAGTTTTTTTAAAAATATCGGTGTGCTATTAAAAAAAAATTATTCAACAATATTTTTCGGTAAACAACTATTATGTCGTGAACATATTATTGCTCCTAAAGTAAAAACGGATAATGCAAAATGCACACACCAATCGGTGCGCAACACTGTGACAGCCCCGCACGCCTGTATTAAAATTAAGGGTCTCGGTTTCGTACGTGAAGTAATACGTGATCACGTGAATAAAAGTAATATAAAACCCGTATATTCAATTCACGTGAATTCGTTGTACGAAATTCACGTGATTACGTATATTAATATTATTCACGTGATATCACGTGATATTCACGTAACGTGATATCACGTAATCGTGATATTCACGTAATATCACGCGAATCTCGTGAATAAAATTATAAATTCACGGACAATTTCCAATCACGGGTCTTATAAACTCGTGATTAATTTCACGTGAATCCGTGAGCCGTGATTCACGTGAAATAGGGAGCCCTAATTAAAATACGTATGGTTGACGAGTGGGGGCCGGGGGGATCGCTAAATACAATGCAACTCGGTGCGCAGTTATTACTGTGAACCGATTTAAAAAAAAAAAAAACGTTATCTACGATTAATTTTGAGGTTTTTTTCATTTGTATTCTGATTTCTGTATCGAATGGTCGATATTATTTCATAATTCATAATAGATGTATTTATATTTTACCCGCCATAGTGAATTAACACGCAATTTTTTCTTTAAAAATGAATTCAGTAGAAAATCTTTTGCAAAAAACATCTCTCTTTATACAAATGAGGAAAAAAATTAAAACATTGGGAAGACCTGTGCCGGATTTAAATTTAATAAAAGTTACAAAACAAAAATCTCGGCAATATACTCGTCATTTTACCAATGACTATTATTCTAAAAATATAAATATTATTAAATGACTTACATATTATTAATAAGATACATTATTTTAAACCAGTAAAAACATGTTACATCATAGTAAATGCTTGTTAGTTATTATTTTGTGCACCACCTATTTTTAACACCACGAGCCACCACTGCATCAACAACATTCGGAAGTGAATCTGCGTGATACAAAATGTAAGGCGGAAATTGTTGTTTTACGGTTTTTATTTGAATATTTTCCTATAAACAAGATAAGTGAAAAATAAGTTATTCCCCAAACAGAACATACAACATGTAAGTTGTGTGTAAGTAAGTATTTTGAGTACACGCCTGTTTAGATTTAAATTGCTTAAAAAATGCCCTTGAAAAGTATTACGGCGATTGACGTTTTCTTCAGTTTGCATTTTTATGTTATATTAAACAAATTGGCATTTTTTAAATAGAAGTAACCAAAAAAAAATGAAAAAATAATTAATAAAAGTAAAGTTGTTACGAGTAATATAAATTGTGGTGGTTATTATAGCGCAAATGATTATAGATTAATTTTAAAAAAAATTATTCTAACAAAAGTTATTTCATTTGTCAAGTCTTTGTGGGACACCCTGTACAGATAAAGAAAAATATCAAAACAAAGCCAACGGCATGTAGTTGTTCCCAAGTGGTCACCCATCCAAGTACTAACTACGCCCGACGTTGCTTAACTTCAGTGATCGGACGAGAACTAGTGTATTCAACGTGGTATGGTTGCCAAGAGAAAAGAGTTTATTGTACTAATTTAAATGCATTAATATAACTATTATTCTTTTTTTTTAATAATATACTATACATATATATATATATATATATATAACTCACTGCACACAATTTAGTTTTCGCAGCGCATAAATTAAAATAAAAGTTTACAATATAAACTAAATCATATTCATATGTTGACTATCGTGCACGTTTAAAATTATTTGTATAACACATTATTTGTCGATTAATAGGCATACTGATATGTTAAATAATGTATTGATGAAACAATTTTGAATTTTGATTATTAAGAGTCATAGCAAAGTTTGTAAGATTAGGTATACAATTATTTACCAAGTTACATCACACTGCAACGCAATAAATTGATAAAGGGAATTTTAAAAACTGAATTTCGAAATGTAAAATGTTTGGTTACCTAGGGAGTATTTAGCATTTTTGACCACGTATACTATATGTAAGCATATCAAGTGTTTACAAATTTTTAAAAAAATGAATTCAATTTTCCAAAAATAAATGTCGGCTACTAATGATTTAATAATTAATATTTAATACTTTTTAATATTTTATCTACACACTTTTCACCATATCACATCCTCCTGGTATTCTACGTTCTCTAATCACAGAATAACTAATTTTTATTAATTCTGTGTTAATATCACACATCAAAATTTGAAACAATATATTTTGTGATAAGAGTATATTATCAATGAACCCCGCCGTCGCATAAAATTCAAAATGTATGAAATAAGGTAACTTTTTTAAAACTTTTTTCTTAGCTTTATAGTTTTAATTTTTTGCAAATGATACCTACACAATTTAGTGAACAATAATGGTAAACAAGTAAATATTTTTATTCGTATAAATTAAGTTTCAATATGAGATTAGGTCATATTGTGTTACACACGGTAAACAGCCCCTTAAAATCTAAATCCTTTGTATTTCATGTTATCTTAATCCTTAGTAGTTCACTGTAAAATAATTAGGTACCTATCTTAAACACTCAAATGACACAGAAGTAAATTGTTCACATTGTGCACAATGCTATGCTTTGCGACCCTCTGGGGAGGGAGACCGACTGTTCACTTACTACAGCGGCTTTTTGATGAGATAAGTCTAAGAAAGCAAATAATACATTAGAAAACTTGCATATTATATAGAATGACAGATAGGTATCCCGGGACTTGTGGCCTTATGGCTTCTTTACTTTTTCCATTTGAACATTTTGTTTTGATAAATCGATAATTAATAATAATTCTAGAACTGAAATTAGGATGTTAATGCGACGGCGGTGGTGGCGAGTCGGTATCTACTATCTTGCCGGTAGATGGCGTTTTTGGGAGTTTCCATTAAAATTCCCAACAAGCACCTATTTTCATAGGAAAATTCAGGGTAAAGTTTACTAGAAATCTCATTAAAAGTAAAATTTTTGAATTCTGCGACATTTCATCGACTCACGGGTTGGTCGAATGCTGAAAAAAAACATTTGTCGGCGGTCAGTTCCGGTCGAATGACACAAGGTTAAGGAGGAGTTCACTAAACGGGTAGACCACAGCTGTCAGAGCATAAGTACTGATAATTGCTCAATAGTAGCCCAATTCCGGTTCCCTTTCAAGACGAATAAATCTTTCGCCTTTTACTAAAGATTTCCGTGGAGGGGAGCACTCAAAGGAGTCTAGATAAATAATTTTTCTAATGCCCGATTTTCGAGTTGGGCTCACATTACTCAAAAACAGTTAATCTATACTTAGGTGTGCTGCAAATACGTCATAGCATTACTACCCTGTGCCAGTGATTGTCCGTCGATTAATGCTTACAACATGACACGTTCATGCCTTTCTGGGATACTTGGATATCCTAATATAAACTTTTAATAGAGCCCAGAAGTTCGTTCTACTGAATGGTCCGAAAAATAGCTAGATAAGCTGTGAATTAAATTTCAAAGAAACCAAATTCAAAAGTAATAGTTTTGCATAATTTCCAGGTTTTTTCATGTTTTAAACTTTTTTCTTCCATAAAAGTACCAATAAAAAAATGATCATATTTAAAACAGAGACTATTATAATATAACATAATTTGGTGTTATCAAATGAAAAAGAAATAAATTCTATAAATATTTTATTTATAATATTTGTTTCATTTCTGTTTTTAAAAAGAAGTTCTTATTTTATGAAATATAATTTATTAACAAATAAATAATTGTACATCACGTTTTATGTAGACTTAGTGGTTACATCTAGTCTTAAAACAATAAAAAACCAAAACATTATATTTAAAAATGAAATGAAAAAAAAAAAAATTTTAAGTTCATACTGTAGCTCTTTTGTCACCGAGTTGGGCAGTAGGGCAAATGATAGAAAATGGACACATTTCCAGGTAGACATAACGCCAACATTAAACATATTAATTTAAATATTGATCGTGTTACAACATAACACATAATATCAATTTCCTTCACCCTTTAAAACGCTTGAAACTTTCGGCTGACTGCTGACATAATATTATAATGTCATGGACAGGCAGGTTTAAAAATTGTGTTTTTTTTACAATATAATAGTTATACAGGGAACTTTCAATTAATAAATTCAAATAAAGATTTTTTTTAAATACATTTGAATGCAAAAAAACAGACATCCTACAAATCTTTATTTGTGAAAATGAAGGGCAGTGAAATGGGCAAGGCACTTATATGGAGAGACAATAGTATCTGTAAACAAGTACTGATAGGTGAAATCAACGGCAGAACACCCAGATGCCGCTTTAAGCAAAGATGGATGGACACATTGAAAGCTGATCTGGTAAAGGTTGCACCAGGAACGGAGCTAGAAGAGAGTGAAAATAGGATGAGGTGGCGGGAAATAGCTGTAAAAGCTTTAAAAAAAATATATACATATATATATATATACATTTTAGACACCAATCCATCCGGATTAATATTCATATGCAGCGAATCCGATTGACGCGTATCAAAAATAATTTTTAACGATGTCTATCATCGTCGTTGTTCACCGCGTACAGTATTTTTGACGTTTGTACACACCGCAGTAAGAATTTGATATCTCTCTCTATTTTCCATTGTTCGGCTTTTATTAAATCGTCGGTATACCTAGATTTTTCTGCAACGGATTTTAGTCAAGCCTGTA